ACTCCACTTACATTTTAAAAGCTACATTCCAGTATTAACATTTTAAATCCACCAGTCTTCCAAATCAGAGGATTTATCTGATTCTCTTTAAATAAAACTTGTGCTTTGGAAGAAAGTTTATTAAATGTTTTGAATTTTGGAGAAGGATTATAGTTTCGCCACAAGAGATTTAAATTCTAACCCTCTCCGTTCCATTAATCTTGAAAGTTAATTTCTGACAGTGATGAAAGCTAAAGGACGGACTGAATGTGTTAGTTAGCATTCTAGTTTTCCTGTCAAGCTGCTAACTTCTGACAATGATGGCAAGTGCTTGTATTAAAAAACAGAAAGCCATGCAGCAGACGGCACACTGCTTTGAAAGCATATGGCATTATATTTCTTTTTCCTCATTGAGCCACAGTGTAGAAGTACGTGTCAAAACAATATCTATTTTAGAAAGAAAGTGGTTAGATCCCATTGTTGATTTACACTCTCTTCACACTTTATGATGAAGTCAAAACTCTTGGTAACAAGAGAAAGGAGTAGACTGCAAAAGCTGAATTCATTTGGTTTTAATCCCCAAAACAAATGATGAAAAGTGATGAGAAGTGAGAAAATGCATATTCAGCGAGATTAAAACAGGAGAGAATGAAGTCCAATATTTACCAAATGTGCCTGGAAAAGCTACATCCATGGGCCAACTCAGTTTTTCCCTTTAGGAAACACAGGTTTGCCCAATGGACAAGGCTAGGCAGCAAAACAGCTTTACAACGAATTTTCAGATTATCAGCGCCGAGATATTTAACAAATCTGAAAGTTCCTGTCAGTCGAGCACCTCACAAATTTGCCTTTCAAGGGCACATTTTTAGTATATGGTTTCCTGATCATTCCACAGTACTGAAGCATCATTTCCTGCTTAGGGAATGAGTGTCCTCTGTCTTTCACAAGGAATAGGGTAGGAGGACTGAAACAGGAGTTATGCTTCTTGAAGCAAAACCACTTAAATATACTTTGTGAGTGGTGATAGCAAAATGCGATGGAAGGCTCAATGAACAGGATTTAGGACTATAATGATTTCATGCATGCTCTTCCCTGTGCAGAGGTTTTCCCCTTACCTTTATCTTTTTCTTGCTGGAATCCATGATCATTTTCCAATCTGAGCCATTGTTGCTGTAGCCGATCTTGAATTTTTTCATGAACACTTTGTTTTCTCTGTGTTTGCCTCCTTGGACAACTATACCCCTCACTTTTTTTTCCTCACCAAGGTCTATCTGAAGCCATTCGTTTGTATATGGATGCGTAGTTGGTGGCAGTGCCCAGCCTGAACGGCTTGTTATGAGACGAGCATTTTCTGGGATCCAGTTTCGATCAACTTGAGTAGATGCAGTAATCTGAGAGTCAGGAATGAGCCCAGACACCATTCCCAGCATCCCAGAGCAAGGATAATCTGCAGAGAGAAAACAAATAAATTAAAGAGTTAATCTTGATAAGCGCCAACATAGAGGAACAGAAACAGGACATATCAGTCAGTTCAAATATCCTAAGAAATACTTATTTTTGTTTCTTATATCCAAAATAATCTTTTTGGATTCTTAAATAATTTTCATTTGTTAAAACATGCACATCCTAGATTTGGTAGGAAATGGAAGTACCAAAATACCACAAGTATTTTTGGCTTGACGAGAACCAAAACAGAATCAAAAAATCCTATTCAATTCTTGTTTTCTATTCTTTTTGCTAAGTCAAAGAAAGCAGGGTTGCATCTGAATTTGTGGATATTTCCCAAAAGAAAACGCCCCATAAAAGGGAAAACTTGCTACAACTTACTTAATTTTGATGATATTGGAAATATGGTATTGTTCCGTACAATATAATTTATTGCTGTACATGAGAAAATTTTAAATTAAAAAATAAACTTCTAAAAAAACGTGATTGTGCCTATTTTTTCTTTATATTTTTTAAGATAGTGCTTTGATGATAGGAAGCACCAGCCTACTAAGAAAGTATTTTGAACATTTATTTTGGTATTTATCTGTGCAATGTAAAGGAATTACATTCCAACAAAGTAATGCTTATCGCCAGTGGGTATGTGGGTTGATAAGTCTAGCTGCTGGAATATACTTTAGCTAAGTGTTTGTATTTGCATTGTTTTTAAAGCTAGATAGGTAGGGCTGTTCCTTGGTAAATCTGCCCAGACCCCCTGAAGTAGCTGCAAATAGCAGGCAGGAGAGGGGCTGGAGTGTGATGAAGGAAAAACAAGAGAGGAATGTGTAAGAAATGCACGCAGCTCAGCTATTTTGCATAAAGTTGTAAAATAATTGCAAGGAAAGTAATTATACTTTTATTTCTTAACACTGAACTCTTAAAAGGTAATGCTACAACAACATTCAGATAACACTGGATGTTTTGGTTGTTGGGGTTTATCTTCTCCCCAATTTTGTTTACGTTTCTATGTTGAGACCACATCTTTTCAGTGCAAACAGTGGGACTGTATTTCACTAACAAAAATAAGCAATTTAACATAAAGAAATGTCAATTTTCATTGGTTTTAAAATACTTTCCAAAACCTACCGGTTATTTTGCAACCATAAACTTCAAATCTCAGTGATACTCCATTTTCCCAAGACAGTGGTCTAATTCGTACAAAACGTGTTAAAACTGGCTTGGCAAAAGGTCTGTAAACAACGTCAGTAGGATTGCTGTTCCCTTGAAATACCTTGACATGAAAAGAAAAGTATGTATTTGTTAGGTTTTCTTTTAGATGTTGTTTATAAATCCAAGTTTTACAGATACTAATTATACAAGATCTAAAAAGGGTTATTTTTGTGGGAGATGAGACAGAAAAACTAGCACAGAGAACAATTTCATTAAACTTGTAACACAATTTTTGCAGAGAAGTAAGCTTTCCCCGGGGGGGAAAAAAGAATACTCAAGGTGTTGAGCGATACTCAATGAAATACATGCTATCTGTGGAGTTCCATAACCCCTACAAACGCTGCTGTGTAGACTAGGAGAACCTCAGGACTTTCATGAGCAAGTCTGACCCTCCCTGCCTCTTTTGGCAGGGACATGGGAATGACATACTTTGGATCTTTGTTATCCAAGGGTTGCTGTATCCTGGAAAAATCCTTCGCTGACCAATTTGGGCAGTTTTCACAGAATCACAGGATGGTTGGGGTTGGAAGGGACCCTTGGAGATCATCTAGTCCAATCCCCCTGCACAAGCAGGGTTGCCTAGAGCATGTTGCACAGGATCATGTCCGTGAGGGTTTTGACTGTCTACAGAGAAGGAGATTCCACAAGCTCTCTGGGCAACCTGTTCCAGGGCTTAGTCACCTTCACAATTAAGAAACTTTTCCTCATGTTCAGATGAAACTTTATGTGTTTCAGTTTGTACCTGTTGCCTCTTCTTATCCTGTCACTGGGCACCACTAGCTCCTTCAACTATAGGAGCTTGTACACATGTATGATGATGCAAAAAACTACAGAACCTCAGACTCAAAGATTTAGGTTTCATTTGGACCATGTAAAAATTCCTTTGAGGAGTTAGGATAAAACAAGATTAAAACAAGATTTAGATTGCTTTCCTGTCCTTGGGCTTAAGAGTTTTACAGGGTATGACTTGCAACCTTCTTTGCCAACCTTGTGTTATGCAAAACTTTTCTAGCAAGTAGTTGGCCTCCCTTTCTCTTTGCACACTGAGATGGAAGTATGTCTAAAATCTACATAGCAGATTCTAAGTTTTTCTCTGTGTCCCTTGAGGCTCACGGTCAAATTAAATGAACAATGAGACTTCCACAAGAAGGTACAGCATTGTGCTGTGCTTTCATGTTGAGGATCCTGCAAGCACGTTCCTTCCTAGCGGAGCAGAATCCTTACAGAGTCCTAGTCCAAAGAAGGTGATTCAGTTTCCTGCTTCTTCCTCATGTAGAGAGGACCAATTTCCTGTTGTTTTCTATGTATATAAACTGCTCTCCTTTTATGGGCCTTTTCTTACATACGGTGTCTGCTTTCCTGTTTGTCACTTGCAGTAGCTGCACTAATTTGGGGCGGAGGTCAGCAGCACACAGCTGTCAACTCATCAGGCTCATTTTTTTTTCTTAAATAATTTAATATAGGAGGTTAATATCAAGCAAGAGATTTTAAAATAATCTACTTTTCAGAAAAAAAATCTCTCTAGTTTTCTCGGGGTCTGCATCTGACAGAGGAACTTATTCTTTCTCAAAAGCACACAACTCTGTACGTGGTTTAGTGCAACATTAATGTGAAGCTTTCTTAAAGACATCTGTGCCTGCCATGCTTTTGCTGTTACTTCAGTAGCTCAGTCTCCTTAACATTTTATTTTGAATAAGGATATCAGAGGAAGGCTGCGGTGTACTTTTCCTGCCTTGATCAACAGCAAAATATTGTCATTTTAGAAGCCTGAATTTTTTATAAACTCTTGGAACAAATAAGGCAGATTTAGGAATCATTCTCACTAACTAAAGACAGCACAGCACCTACACTAGAAACTCATATAAAATACCCTCTTGGAGAGTTTAGAAATTGAAGCTTGGAAATAAAACCAAGGCATGGTCTGATTTTGAAAGAGGCATTTGTTCAGATTATGAGAACGACAGCCAGAAAACCCCGTGTTCGCACACGAGCCACAGCATTGGCTCTGCTTGTGACTTGGGGCAAGTCACCTATGTTATCTTTGTTTGTACCCCATGATACAGTGCCCACATTGTGGCATTTGACCTTCTAAGGTTCCTTCTTGTCTGTAAAACCAGAATAATGCCTGTCAAAGAGAGGCTTTCTGGGTTCATTTTACAAAAAGTGCTTCAAAGATAAAAAATATATGTGTTAACACTGCTACCATTTTGATTAGATAGATTTAGTGAACTTGGCATAATGCTTACAGAGGTATCAGGAACAAACCAGTAACTAAATATTTATAATTGATACATTTGCACTGGTAGAACTTAACTATGATGCAGGTATTCTGGATCCTCACAGAAGGCTCACAAAAAAGTTATTATTCACGTTGACATAAAACCTTTCCGGTTCCACCTGCCCCTGGCAGATGCTGGAGATGCTGCTCCTGGGCACAGTCTGAGCAAGGTGGGAGGGGAGGCACAGAGTCACTGCGACTATTCATGTGAGAGCCTGAACGGAATTGACTTCTCAGGAAAAAGCTTTGTGCTCATGGCAGCGGATAATGAACGTTTTTCTTATGAGTGCCTAAAGCTGTTTCATTTGGAGGTCGCAGAGAGCAAATCCACTGATAAGTGGAACGGTGATAAAAATCTATAAGGATGGAGCAATGTGCCTAATTACCTGTCTGTATGACCCCCATCATTGAGAACATCTAACAAACTGCTAATGACTTGCTAGCACTCCTGCAAGACAGCGTAGCTAAGTGCAGGGAAATGAAGCACTGAAATGCCATGTAACCAGAGCTGCACTGCAGAGAAGGGACCTATATAATTTTTAAAGTGTTCCTTTTAATGCTTTTTTTTTTTCTCAAGGTCACCTCAGAAATCTCCGGCAAACTGGGAAACAGAAGCTGAGTCCAGGTAAGAGACTCAAACTACCCAAATTCTTGTGAACGCCACTGATGCGGTGCCTTGCAGCCTTTTCAGCTCTCCAGCCTGCAGACAAACAGTTTCTGTGGCTGTTAGTTCTTGGATAACCGTTATCTTTCAGATTTGGGATTTTGCTAATCCTGATAGTGCTGATTAAACCTGTGATACCTTAATCCCCCTTTTTTTAAGCAACTAAAAGGAACTAAGTTCAACAGCCTCCTTCTCCACAAAAGACAGCAAAGAGAAAAGACTTACAATGGCTTTGTTTCCCTCCTTAAGAGTAATCCAGTCCTCTCCGTTGGAGCTGACATCCACACGGTATGTTTTCAGGTAATATTCTTTCTTTGTTTCTTTTGAGATGGCTCCTTGGGTGCCGATTCCAGAAACGAAGCGGAGAAGGCCTAGGTCTACCTGTGGTAGTGAATTGGGACATGAGGACACCCAGATTAGAGCATGACAATACTGCAGAAGTCTTTCACAGAGAGAATGAGGCTTTACACAGAGAATAGTGTAGCATGTTGTTGGTAATAACATGGTCACGATCTCCTCTTTCCTCAACAGTGTCGTTGCAGTAGGCGAGAACATTTGCCTGATCAGTCAGGAGGGCTGTTGACAGACTGGAGAATTAGTTTGCCTGCATCAGGAGGAAGAGAGAGGCCACCAGTGTGGGTGGGAGCCTGTCTGCAGAGAAGGCACCGGTGCAGCTCCTCAAGGACCAGCCTCGTGAACAATCTTACTTAATACTTTCATTAACTACCTCGCGGAGATGCTAATGAGATTTGTGGAGGATGCAAAGCCACAAGGCATTTAAGATACAGAGGAGCATCACACAGGGAGAAGCGAGCGACCCTGAGGACTGCAGCATTAGAAAGGGGATGAAATTTAATAGTGAAATATCAGTCACCACTCAGGGAATGATAACAAGAATTTCTGCTAAAACCCAGGAGCTCATCACTTGCAAACAGAGGAGGAGAAAAGAAATCCATGGTGTATTCGTTAGTCACAAGGTAATTATGAACTACTATGTAATTTTGCTGGGGAAAAGGCAAATGAGTTCCAGTTTGTACCAAATTAGGTATTTGTAGAGAAGGGAAGGAAATATTAATACAAATGCAATAATTCTGTTCTAACCGACAAATGAAGTAAACTTCAATCATGAGAAAAGAATGATATTTTGAACTTGCTGGGAAATTAACACCAGAGTGTGCAGGCGAATGCAAGTTGGAGGCATTCTCTCTTCTTCACACACTCTCACTCTTTCTCTTTCTCGCATGGAATTACCAAATGGAGAAGTGATCCAGGGTAACCCAGAAAAAAAAAAAAGTTATTTATAATCTAGACCATCTCCCTGATCTAGGTCATCATGTGGCATCATAAAATGCCATGATGTGTGGTGCAGGAGTGTGGCTACTGAAATCAGTTCTGCTGGCAAAAGAAACTTTTGTCTCAGTGCACAAGTCCATCTGCCAAAAGGTTGAAATTAGGCACAAAACTTTCCCACAGCCAGGCTGATGATAACAGCCTTGAAACACCTGCTATTTTCTTCTGGTCTTTCTTTAGCCATAAAAATAAACTGATTAAAATTAAATCAATTATCCTGCTTTCTCCACAGCTAGATCCTTCTTTGTTTCCCAGAGCAAACCGTTTAATTTCAATATAAAATGAAAGTATTCACAAAATACTAATCGGACTAATTTATTCCCCTAAAACTGAGTTCCCCAGACTCAATAAGACGATAATAGGCTGCATTAACCCTTGTCATGCGAATGTTTCAATGAATGTCTCAAGCTTTTGCATTATTTCCCAAGTATGCAGGATGCAAAAGATATGTCCCCTGTGTCCCACAGGCATCCTCTTTCCTGGATGTATGTCATATGTCCAAAGGCGCTGGAGCGGTTAAATCAACATGCTCTGCATTCCCCCTCAAAGGGCCCAAGGAAGTGCTGGTGAGGACAGACTGGCTGCTCTCTCAGAGCCCATGTCATACGCAAGTCATTTTGAAATCTCCCAACACAAGAATAGCAGCCTTGTGTGTGAAAGATAGAACAAGCTTTCAGCAGAAAACTCTTGTCCCTGCCATAATTTTTAAGCTGGTAAAGGTTATACTTAACATTTTAGCCCTGGTCTTCAGGGGTGAAATTCTGCACCATTTTATTTTGCCATGATAAGAAAAAAAAATAAGTCTTGGAAAAAAAGAATCTGAAGACTGCCTTACAAAAACAATCAAGTGATTTAAAGTGACTGGAGAGTCTCAGATGTTAGATTGTTGCAATCTGAAAGTTAATGGGGGAATCTGGGCATCATTGCACTGAGCAATCTCAGCTTAACTTCAAATGCTCTCCAAACTGTACTCTGCTGATTGTAAAGTGTGCTGCACTGAGTTATGTCCAATACCACATTCACTTCCAGGCTGAAGTGCACTTGAAAATCTGGAAGTCTGAGGGAGCGCAGAGCTAAGTTATTTAAATGATCTGCTTCTCTTACAATTTGAAACAGCTCTTCAGTTTTGAAATGATTAGGGTCCCAAGCCTGTACCATGCTGACTGATTTGAAATGATTCTAGTAATTTTTTTTTAATATGCAATAAGTACTTCATTGTGAATAAAGTCAAGCAATAGCCTATTACAAGAGTTCTAGATATTTGAAACTAAGTTAAAATTTAACATCAAGGTGTAGGGGTAGATTTGCTTATTTGATGTCTGCACAAATAATTACAGTTCCAGTCACCGAACATTCAGGCATTTCAGGTTTTTCCCATGGAAGAAGTCAGGTGCCAGGATTTTGCACATGCCCAGGAGTTTTGAATGCCAAGCTGGTATTCAAAACTCCCACTCAACTCCCCAGGCTCTGAAAGACCCAAGGCTTTCACCTATGGCACTGCCCAGAGCTAACTCTCCCATGTGCTCTGGATATAGAAGTCTACCTTCATGTCTAAAACGCCAGTCAGGTGGAAACCCTCCTGTCAGGGGTAACAGTACCCCAGGACAGCGTGAAGCTGAGCAGCTCTCCCCTTTCTTGCCTGCAGGCTGGGAGGAGGAAATCCCAGCTGCAGACCTTGTGCCAGGAGCTACTTAAGGCAACAGAGGAGGAGGGCTGGGGCCTTCATCTCCTGTTGCTGGGGAGAGCAGCCTGTTCACACAGATGTGGTCTCCCTCCAGATCAGCAAATCTCGATGTATTTTGTGAAGATGGGAACTGTGTGAACACCAGGCCCACCCTGGAAAGTCTGGAGACTAATTGCTCAAGTGCTTAGCTGGATGCTACAGCTCTAAATCTGGTGATGCAAATGGGACGACATAAATCCAAATCTCCTGTATTCCAGGCAGTGTTTTCTCAAAAATTGCAGAGAAAGATAGAATAATCTAGCTCCATTCTCTGCTTTGTGAGGAAGGTGCTGTTCACACAGTAAAGGTGGGGTTGAGCAGATGAGGAACAGAAGGGCTGGAGCTGTGTGTGCTAATTCAACCTTGGAGCAGAAGCCCAGGAGACAGGTAGAACTCAAGGATCCTCCTGCCTTTAACAGCTCTGGGCTGCAGCCTTTGCAGGAGCCATTCCCCTCCAGGCATATAAAACCAGAACTGCAACATTGAGTGCCTCTCTGTGGTGCCAAAGTTGTAAATCAAGCTCTAGATTTACATATCTTCTTCTTCAAGTAAAGTGATAGAAATAAATTATGTAGAAAACTACCGTGGAAACTGTATGACACATTTCACGGGTGTGTTAAATTCACCCTTATTAATCACTTAGTGATGGATTTTGGCTTTCTTTCTCATGTTTTGTGAAGCTGTATGAAACTTTGCCATCTGTAAAATGTGAGATTGAGCAAAAAATACACATTCTAAATGTCATAGGAGTTACTCAGAGTCGAAACTCAACCATATTAACTTCTGTTATGAACTGGAGCATGAAGGTGCCAAAATGTGGCTGGGGTAATATGCTGCTCTCTCACACTACAACATCCAGAGGAACCAATGCCGAGGACATTGGTTCTAGGACAACTGTGTGTCACTAATCAGCTAGGATTTCTTATGCTTTTCGGAGTTTCTGCTTATAGAGTTCAGCTGTCAAGCTCCAGTCAAGCTAGCATGTCCTTGGCACAAAGGTCTCCAAGAGTTAACATGAACAGAGGTAGCCCACTTTTCTCAGATCCCATCTTCTCCAGCTGAGATAACAGCATGAACCCTTGACAGCTAGCTTTTTGTTTTGGACTTGTTGTTCTTTTTATTTTAAGAACTCCTGTTTCATGTTAAAATGACCTGCAGAGAGATGTAGTGATGAAATACTGTACTTTTGAAAATGAACATCAAATGCATTTTTCTACAATTATTTGACATTTAACTTTCCGCACGTATGATAAACAAACATCTGGTATTTATTTTACAGGATGCAAAAGATTTTGTAACTTATTGCATGCTGTATGGCAGTGATCTGAAATAGGCAGCTGTCTCCAATCTGAAATCATGACATTTTGCTTCCATGACAAAGACTTTACTTGTAACTAACTGTTGTATTCTCATAGTGTTTTTTTTTCTGTTAATGATACTTTTATTCATTCAGATTAAAAAGAATATTTTCTCTAGCAAATAATGCCTTATGACCCTATCCAACACACACAGCCTTTGACAATTGCCTGGGTTGCAATGCGACTGCCCTTACTGGTAACTACAACACTGGGGGCACACCTGAGTGTAGGAATGGGTCCTAATATACAAGAAAAGAGGAATACCTCAAATGCATACATTTTTCCAGGAGAGAAACATTCATCTAAAAAAACAAACAGCGGTTCCCCCTTCTAAAGTCAATTTATTTCTTGTGGCACCATTTGTAAGATGCTAGCTGTTCCTACCAGTGAGTTACTTCCTCACTATTTATTCTTCAATACTACATCCAGGAAAAACATTTTTGATTGCTCTCTCCTAAAAACATGTGTGTGTGAGGGGACACATTTTTAAGGCATAGATATACAATGGGTGGCATGCACATTTTAGTCAAAACCAGCAAAGGGGAAACACAAGGAACAATATTTAGCTCTGCACAGTATATCATGTAGCAAATCTTAGCTAACTGATGGTTAAAAACATGTGAGACATGGAATGAATATTGCTGCTTCCTGTAGTCATACATAACCATGTCATACTATGGAAGATCTTATTTTTGGAATGAAAATCTGCCTTCCAGAATAAAATACAGTCACTGAGGCAGCTGTAGCAAGGGAGCAGTTTTACCAGCTTTTAACACTCCTACTGTAGGTCTGCTCAACAGCCTGAGAAAATAAAGGACATATAGTACTGGAGTTTGATTAACAACAGGAAGCTTTTTGTTGTGGGCATCTCTTGTGGCTTGAAAAGCTGTATAATCCATCACTTGACACAACATACCAAAGTAAATATTTTTGGAGGACTGTGTCATTTC